CTTCGCAGAAATATTGCGGAGTTGTTATCCGCAAAAGCATTGCGGAATTGTTTTCGCAAAAAATTGCGAAGCTATTCTCCGCAAAAATATTGCGGAATTGTCTTCGCAAAAGTATTGCGGAGTTATCCGCAAAAGCATTGCGGAATTGTTTTCGCAAAAAAATTGCGGAGTTGTTATCCGCAAAAAATATTGCGGAATTGTCTTTGCAAAAGTATTGCGGAGTTGTTATCCGCAAAAACATTGCGGAATTGTCTTTGCAAAAATATTGCGGAGCTATTATTCGCAAGAATATTGCGGAGCTGTATTGCAGTCTACTACGCTGCACCATCGAAACGTTACATTAGAGATATTCCGTGTCGTACGTAAGAATTTCGCACAAATTATTTCACCCACGCGTTGAAAGATTTCGCGAGATCGGCCTTCGATTCACATTGCGTGTTCCCTTTGCTCACGGATTCCGTTTTCTTCGTAAACGATTCGCGTCGCGCGTGTATCAAAGCGATACACTACAACTCGATTAGAGTTGCTTAATTCGTCGCACATATTCGTCGTTTATCCAAAAGGCCGATATTTCCTCGAAGACACAGTTCACAATATTTCATACGCAATTCGCAACTCGGAGTGTATTCCCTAAGAGAGACGGGATTTTTCGCGAAACCTTCGTTAGATTACCGCGGTCGGGAGTGAATTACAGGCGACGTGGGACGCGAGGACCATTGCAGTGTCAGATGCAGCGACAGGATGGCTGGTGGACCCTGGACACCGTGGGACGACGCGCAATGGTGAGCGCTCAATTTAGACGCTCATATAGTAGACACAAAGCGTCACTTTACGTAGATTGCATGCACGTAGACGTAAATCGCATTGGGTCCGACGGGAAGTAAAGTAAGAATTGGAATTTATAATTCGCCGGAGTTACGTAAGAATGATCCAACCAAAGAATTTAGCTTTGAGATTTTCGCAATAGTTCAACGAGTTAAGCATTTCCATTTCTTTAAGAGTACTGACTAGCTCAATCCTTTAAAAAATGTGCAAAAAGACGCGACTAATAAAAAATAAAAAAACTGTTTCTTAATTCATTTCAAGGATATACAAGGCTTGAATTTTTTCTTGGTTTAAAAAGATATGAATGGAGTATCCATTGATAAAAACTTATAATTTGTTGAATTGGATCATTCTTGCATAACAATGGTCGATTGAAATTTCGACTCGATAGGCTTCCTTCTCGTCGGATTATTTCTTGATGATACATTAAACTGATATATTTCAACATGTCATATTTATTTGCTCTGTTTATGTTATATATGCTATTTTTGTGCTCTATATATGTTTTATATATATTTTATGTATGCTTTATATATACTATTTGATTATTGTACTTTAGAACTTATTATATCGTATAATATACGACATACTATCTCTTCGGAGATATCTTCTTATGCATACGCGTTTGTTGTTGACAAGATGACAAATTAAATTTCGATAAATTTAAGACAACAAATTAAATGATTAAACCAAGACTCAAATCGAAATATTTCGAAAAAAGTAAATGGACAGCAGCATCATATCAACGCCTATTTGACGATCGTCTTTAATTGTTAAATATCAATCTCTCTCTCTCTCTCTCTCTCTCTCTCTATATATATATATATATATATATATATATATATATATATATATATATATATA